GCACATTGAAGAAGATCGGGTAACCATTCAATTGGCTGATAGATCTTTAATACATCCAAAAGGTGTGCTAGAAGATGTGTTAGTCCAAGTGAAAGAGTTAGTATTTCCAGCAGATTTTTATGTCCTTGGCATGGATGATGATGACTCACCAAATTTGAGCTCAATTCTTCTAGGAAGACACTTTTTGAAAACAGCCCGGGCAAAAATTGATGTTTATGATGGTACATTATCCATGGAATTTGATGGAGAGGTGATAAATTTCAATATATATGATGCTATGAGATATCCAAGTGATGTTTCATCTTTGAATTTTGCGGATGTCAATGAACCATTAACAGAAGAGTGTTTTGATTTGTCTAATCGTGATGTGTTAGCTCTGATTTTAGACATGAATCTTCAAAAGGGAAGAGTGGAAAAAACCTACCAAGAAATTTAAAATTGATGAAGAGATTTTGGAAGTTGTATCTTGCATGGATGAAAAGAAGAAAATGAGGTTTGATGTTCCAAAGCTGAAATTACCAATGTCTAATGAGAAACTTGTTCCTTCTATTGTGTAGGCACTGGAATTGGAACTCAAAACTTTACCCGAGCATCTCAAGTACGCGTATCATGGAGAGAAAGAGACTTTACCAATGATCATCTCCACAAAGTTATTAACAAAAGAAGAAGAAGAGCTTCTCACCACCTTAAAATAGTATAAGGAAGCTATTGGGTGGACTATATTCGACATCAAAGGGTTAAGTCCTTCAGTTTGCATGCACAAAATCCTTATGGAGGAAGATTACAAGCCTTCCCAAGAAGCTCAAAGGCGTTTGAACCCTCCAATGATGGAGGTTGTGAAAAAGAGATTTTAAAGTTTTTGAATGCGGGGATGATCTATCCTATATCCAATAGTAAGTGGGTAAGTCCAATCCAAGTTGTACCCAAGAAGACAGATATTACTATTACAAGAAATGACCAAGGTGAATTAGTCCCCACCTGTGTGCAAAACGGGTGGAGAGCTTGCATTGATTATAGAAGACTCAATTCCTAAACCCGAAAAGACCATTTCCCACTTCCCTTCATTGATCAAATTTTGGAAAGATTAGCGGAAAAAAGGACCCTATTGTTTCTTGGATGGGTATTCCGGTTTTCATCAAACACCCGTAACCCATTGCACCCGAGGATCAAGAGAAAACCACTCACATGTCCCTTCGGAACATTTTCATATAGAAGGATGCCTTTTGGACTTTGCAATGCTCCTACCACTTTTCAAAGGTGCATGGTAAGTATTTTTTCGGAGTATGGTGAGGAGATCATTGAAGTTTTTATGGACGATTTCACAGTTTATGGTAATTCTTTTCATGAATGTTTGGCCAATTTGAAAAAGATTTTGCAAAGATATATTGAGACCAACCTTGTTTTGAATTATGAAAAATGTCATTTTATGGTTGATAAAGGTCTCATACTTGGTCATGTTGTGTCTTCTAAGGGGTTAGAGATAGACAAAGCAAAAAATTGATGTCATCAAGTCTTTACCTTATCCCACTTGTGTTCATGAGGTACGCTCATTTCTTGGTCATGCAGGTTTTTATAGAAGATTCATTAAAGATTTTTTCCAAGATATCCCGTCCCATGTGTGAGCTTCTACAAAAAGATTTAGAATTTGAATTTTCCAAAGAATTCAAGCAAGTTTTTGATTAGTTAAAGGAGTTGTTGATCTCAGCACCAATTCTTCAATCGCCGGATTGGAGTTTGCCTTTTGAAATCATGTGTGATGCTAGCAATCATACAGTTGGTACAGTGTTGGGGCAAAGAAAAGGCTGAGTTCCTCATGCCATTTATTATGCTTCAAAAACACTTGATAGTGTACAAGCTAATTACACAACAACTGAGAAAGAATTACTATCTATTGTATTTGCTTTAGAGAAATTTAGTTAATATTTGTTAGGTTCTAAAGTGATTGATTATTCTGATCATGCAGCTATTAGGTACCTATTTACAAAGAAGGATTCGAAGCCTAGACTTATTCGATGGGTATTACTCTTACAAGAGTTTGATATTTAAATCAAGGACAATAGCAGAAAGTCAAACCTTATAGCTGATCATCTTAGCCGGATTGTTTCTCCCGATGACTCGACTCCCATTCAAGATGCATTTCCCGATGAGAATTTATTTTCAGCAAAAGTTGCCCCATGGTATTCCAATATTGTGAACTACATCGTCACAAATCAATTTCCACCAGATTTGACTCGATGGCAAAAAGATAAGATCAAGAAATAATCCAAGAGGTACGTTTGGGATGAGCCATATTTAGACGATGTGTATATCAACATGAGATACCTTCTATCTTAACATTTTGTCACTCTTATGCTTGTGGAGGGGATTTTGGTCCTCAAAAGACTGCAAGAAAAGTATTAGAGAGTGGATTTTACTGGCCAAGTATTTTCCGTGACTCTTATGTCTTTTGTGTCAAAAGATGGGATCTGTAAGCTCAAAGAATCAAATGCCCCTTAATCCCATTTTAGTTTGTGAAATTTTCGATGTTTGGGGCATTGATTTCATGGGACCTTTTCCATCATCTTCAGGTTTTATTTATATTTTTTTGTTTGTGGATTATGTTTCCAAGTGGGTGGAAGCAAAGGCTACCCATACTAACGATTCAAAAATTGTGATAGATTTCTTGAAAATTAACATCTTTACCAAATTTGGTGTTCCAAAGGCCTTGATCATTGATCGTGGTACACATTTTTGCAATCGTATGCTCGGGGGCATTTTGAAGAAATATGGTGTTACTCATAAAGTTTCCATAGCATACCACCCACAAACAAATGTATAAGCCAAAGTGAGTAATCGACAAATCAAGGGTATTTTGGAAAAAACCGTGAATACAAGGAAAGATTGGAGTATACGCCTTGATGATGCTTTGTGGGCGTACCGCACTGCATACAAAACTCCAATTGGAATGTCTCCATACCGTATTGTTTTTGGAAAACCATGTCGATTACCTATTGAGTTGGAGCATAGAGCCTATTGAGCGATAAAGCAGTTCAACATGGATTTAAGTGAATCGGGAAAGAAGAGGAAGCTGGACATACAAGAACTTGAGGAGATCCGTAATGAAGCCTATGAGAATGAAATTCTTTACAAAGAACGGACCAAACCATACCATGACAAGATGATTACACGCAGGGTATTTCAAAAAGGTCAAAAGGTACTACTTTACCATTCGCGTTTTAAATTGATTCCTGGTAAATTAAGGTCCCGTTGGGTGGGACCATTTGTTGTAACTAATGTTTTTGAGCATGGTGCAATAGAAATCATAATTGATAAAAACCTGGAAGATCTTTAAGGTAAAAGATCACCGTTTGAAGCCTTATTATGAAGGATTTCAAGTCAAAAATGAAGAAGTGGAGGAAGTAATGGATCCAAAGTACCAATATTGACAAATAGATGTGATCCAAGTCGAGCCAACGACATTAAAACCGGACGGCTAACCGGGAGGCAATCCGGGGGTATTTTGTTCATTTCTCAATTTTCATTGTGTTTTCTTCATTTTTAAGTTTCCAAGTCGTTTCTCATGATTAAAGAGGGTAAAAAACCATTTTTCAGGTAATAGTGGAGTAGCAGGTTGCAATTTAAAAAACTGAAAAAAAAAATCACAATTTTTGGCCTTTACAGAAGTTTACACGACCCTGTAAACATATGCTTACAATCTACACGGGTTGTGTAAACGACCAGACCAGCTCATATCAGACGCCTCATTTACACGGTCGTGTAAATTCTGCCCTTTAGTTTACACGGGCCTTGTAAATGTAAAAACAGAGTTGTACGGTTTTTAAAGCTTAAACTCGATTTTTACTCATTCCTTTCACAAAACCTGCGACTCCTTTTCTCTCCTTACTGCCCCTTCGGAAAAAAAAAACCCTTAAAATCACTCAATCTTCCTAAATTTTGTATCAAAAATCAAGCTCCAATGTACGAAATTGTTCTCTTTTCTTCATCTTCTTTTTCTTACATCTCAATTTCACCCTTTCAAGGACAATTTTGGGGGTTTTGAGCAAACCCTAGAATTTTTGAATCTCCAAATCTCGACCTAATGTTTACAATTTCTTGTAGGATAAGCATGGGGAAAGCTTGGGGAGGCATTGGACATCACCCTACCACCATTTTCAAGCACAAATTGGTATAATTGTTCCAAACTCTTTACTTGTGCATATAGTTAGATTTTGGGGTGATTTTGGTGATATTACTAGTTCTTGTGCATACTTTAGAGTTCAAAAATTACCCAACATTGTGTACAAAACTTTGTTGAATTCATTTGGGCAATGACTTCCCGTGGAAAAAGGGCTAGAATTGGGACTTCACATATAGTTGGTCAAGAGACCAATGATGAACAAGACCAACATTACATGGAAAACCCCTATAAATTTGGTCTTATTTTTTAGTCCAATCAACAAGAGATGTTGTATGCAACCCTTATTCAAAGGGTAAAAGGGGCACAAAAATTTGTGGACATCTAAGCCCTCAAGGACCTTCATATCTATAAGGGTGTCCACAAGCTCTTTAAGAACATTGGTTGGGACAGGTTATTGAATCTCTATGTTGTAAGCTTTCAAACACCCATGTTGGAATTCTTGTCATCCATCACTTTCTATTACCACACACACATCCTCACATTCCGTTTGCTCAATCAATCCCATAGAATTCATGTTGATACTCTCTGTGATATTATTGGTGCCCTAAAATCGAAAAGGGGATGTATATATAGACAAGGGAAGAAGAAATGTAGTATTTGAGCAAAATTGCGAAAGGTTTTGGAGAAGCATCTCTTGTGAGCACGAGTTTCATTCAAGCATAGCAAAGGCTTCGAGTATCATTCGTCAGGTTCTTAAAGTCACCCACCAGAGTTTCCTCAAGAAGAGATTAGCAAATCCAACAAGAAAGAGTTGGAATTCCTATGGTGCATGGTTAACAAGCCCGAGGAAGTTCCTCACTTTGGGTGTTGGGTAATTCAGAAAATGCTCAGAAACTCCTTGAGCAATGGTGGTCAGCTTCATTATGGAGGCATGGTTACTATTATAGCTAAACATCTTGGCCTCCATTTACCCAACAATCCAACCAATATAATTATGGGTCGTACTCGTTTGTCACTTGATGTTATGGAAATCATGCACCTCTTTCACCGCACTCCCAATGGGGATGTTCATTGGATCGTCGAGGACAAAGAATATTTACGCATCAACAACCAAAAAAAGAAGATATTAGCCATGGCCAATGACATCCCATCTACACATTTGCATCTCCAATCCAACTTAGGTGCTACTGTAACCCATAGACCTCCAATCACCACTCCTACCCCTCCTGCTCAACCTGCAACTGCAGGTGCTTCCAGCTTGTCTTGCCCCATTCCTTTCCCCGTACACAACCTTCACATGGGTGAGTTTGAATGCTAACACCATCACTATACGAGCCTCCAGTAAGAAGTAGGAGAGATTTACACGGGTGTTGCTGAAATCACTTCCGAATTTCAGGACTACCGTGACCTTCAAGAAGAGCGTTGGGCCCAGCAAGATCTGCGATGGGCTGAACAAGATCAGCGATGGGTTTCTCAAGAGCAACACAACCGCAATATCCATTATTTGATAAGTGACCTTCACTGAGTACTTGTCCTTCCCACGCAGCAGCAACCATCATCATCATAACCCTAGTGGCCTTCATATTATCCTACTGATTATCATTCACAGTTCCCACCATATCCACCACTGCCCGGTCCTCAATAGGCCGGCTAGGCCTCTCTCCAAGCATCGAGGACGATGCTATATTTTAAGCTTGGGGAGGGGCATCCATCCATGCATAATCCCGTTGCATGTAGGTTGCATGTAATTTTGCATTAATTTCCATTTTTTTTTTCATTTTTCTGCATAGAAATTTATTTTAAAAAAAAAGATTTTCTTTCTAATTTTTATTATTCTTTGCATTTTGCATTGCATTTATTTTATTAAAAAAACTTTTTTTGATCCAATTCCAAGCAACCGAATCTTTTCAAAACAGTTGAGTTGGTAAGTAAGTCATGTGCCATGAAATTGGCTTGCTCTTTTAATTGAAAAATCTTAAAGCAAGCTAATCGCACACGAACACACCTCCCGAAGCTACTCGTGCAAAACAGAAAGTGAAAAGATTGTCAACATCGGATCATAACAGCAGGTATGAGTTAATTCTTTGGGACATATGACTGGTCGTATGAGTAGTAACTGCTCAATTGAACTTAAAATTCCAAATTCATAAATTCATATATATATATATATATATATATATATATATATATATATATATATATATATATATATATATAATCTCCATGTCCCGAGCCTTCCAGCGCTCTAAAAGTCATTTCTGCTTATTCCCTTTTATAAACCCTGCTTGGGGACATAGCTTCCAACTATGCCTACAGGTCTTTGCATGTTGACCTTTGGTCCCCCAAAAAATGTCTTAGAAGCCTTCAAGGTAATAGACCGTGAGATGTCCCACAATAGAAAAGTCAAGGACAAAAATATAAAGAAATAGGCCTAGAAAATAAATTAATAAGAGTCTTATGTGTTATCTTAGTTATACAAAAAAAAATTATTAAGTTAATTTGTGACCTTTGGAACTCGAATAAGTAAACTCCGAGGGGTGTTTTACACCTAATCGCCTAAAGCAAAATTGTTTGGGACTGATTGAGTTGAAAGTTCGCTACACGGGTTCCATAGAAAGTCATGAACTTAATAATAGCAAATAAAGCTAATTTGTGGCCTTTGAGGTTCGGGCGAGTAAACCTGAGGGGTCTTTTTAAATCTAGCAAACTAAGGTCATTTGATTTGGATGTGTTGGTTGGAAGCCTGTTACATGTATTTCAAAGAAATCCATGACTTTTATTTGTAGAAAAAATTAATTAGAAAATTGCATAAATTTGTGTTCAAAGTTTAATTAAATAATATGTTTAGGAAAAATGCTTGGCTGCCAAAAGATTCCTTTGGACTTGGATTTGAACTTATGACATTGGGACTGAATGTTGATTACTTTGACTGGTGTAAGTGGTTTGATATTTGTAACCAATCTGGGTAAATATTAGGAAATTTTTAGAAAAGATTTTTCAGAAAAAGATTGTTGTTGACCAACAAATAGTTGGGATCAGTCATTGATATGTTTCATGAAACAAAGATGATTGAGCATTTTTTGTCACATAGAATTTCACGAGAGTAAGACCATAGTTTGTTCCATGAATTGTCTTGATGATATTAAAAGGGAATAAGTGTTGGGATCTTTGATTCTGTTGAGTTGTATTAGGGAGTAGCTAAAGTCTTATTTCTATTGTTATATAATTTGAGACTAAAGCCAAGTTGACTCAAGGGACGACAGGTATATTCTCAACTATGGTACAAAAACAGGGTTAATTGGGTTGGATCTTTATCATGTTTGTTTTAATTTCATGCATTAAATTTCAAAAAGTTTTAAATTTGATTTTCTTTTCTTCTATTTTATTTTTATATTATTTTATTTTCTCCAGTTCAAATTTTTCTTATTCTTTCTTGAGGGCAAAAAAGGTTCAAGCTTGGGGAGATTTGTTAGGTGTCATTCATGCATTTATTTTTGTAGTTTTAATCCATAAAAGTGCATTGCATTTAGGTTTAAACTCATGCATTTTGCATATTTTTTTGGATTTTTCATGATACAATTCCATTCACACACTTTTGTGATATTTCAGGGGCTTTTGAAGGACGGATCTTAGTTGATGTGATGAATAAAAGGTGTGGACGAAGTTTCGTGACCATTGGAGCATCGAGGAAGAGGTTAAGAAGAAAATGAAGATTTTGACTATACGAAGGTTTACACGGCCATGTAAATGAAAGCCTTGAGTTTACACGGGCTGTGTAAACGCATATTCAATAGCAGTGTACTTCGAAGGCCTGACAAATTTGAGCATTCTACTTCTAGAGTTTACACGGCCGTGTAAATGGTCAGTATTAGTTTACACGGGCCGTGTAAACATGTCGTCAGTTTTAAAACGGTTTCATCCTTTGTAAAAGGGAGATGACCAGTTCCAAAGGAAGTTAAGTCGTGCGTCAGAAGAAGAGAAAGGATTTTTTGGAGATTTTGGAAGTTGATTAACATTTGGAAACACTTTAATTTGCATTTTGTAAGTCAAATTGAGGATTAAACTTGTTGAATTTGTAGTTTACTTAGACATGTGTGGCTGATTTCTTTATCATTTATGATTCTGAATTCTTAAGTATTTGTTGTTAGGTTGTAATTACACTTGACTTATCTTTAACATCTAGTAATCTTTGATTGATCTTAATTATGTGTTTTATTGGTTCTCTTTATTCACTTGATCAATGAATTAGGGTTCTTATCAATCTAGTTAATCAAATTAAAAAATTTGTATATGTTTTATGATTTGGTGTTAGTGACATGCACTTGATTGGGTGTATTTAGATCAAAATAAGTGTAATCAAAGATTAAATTTTCATAATCCCAAGCTTAAGAGGAATGTTGAACATTGTTCGGAATTGTTGCAAGAACTCAATGTCATTTAATGATTTGATGCAAGAACTTATTTGAATTGAATCAATTAAATGAAGTTTTATTTGAAGAACATGTTTTGAGTAAAACACTTTTTTCAACTTAGGTATTAGAGTTTATTGATATCTAAATTATCAACCTAGATTAAACATGAGTCATAACTATATTACATCTTTCAACATAATACATATATAAGAATCATAATTAGAAATGTATTTCTTTTACTGAATTTTGTTTTTAATCTTATTTCTTTATGAATTCCAATTTTAGTTTAAACATAATCCCCCATTTTAATATTGTTTGTATAATGTGTAAGAATATGGCTAAATAAGGAGTCTTGTATTCATGTGGACCAACCCTGCTTACTCTATACTATCTTTAGTGTATGAAGTAGAAGTGATTTGAGTTTTATTGTTATTATTTTATCCCATTATTTGTTGGTTTGACAGCCAAACAACTAAAAATAAACTTGTTATTTTAAAGTCTTCTGTTACCGTTTTTGTGAAAACAAACTTATAGTTCGTATCAAAAACCAACAAACAGGTTAACAAAACAGGAAAATCCCAACAGGCCGAGTACGCCATGCGTACTCAGTTGGTACGCCCAGCCTACACCCTTTGGGGCCAATACATATGGTACGCTCAGTGTACACTCCTGAACCCCAATCTTCTTCATTAATCATTTAACCACTTATGTCCTTGCTTATAATTCTCAGATCTACTTCCCATGGATGACTTATCACGTAAAGTTGGCAACTTTACTTGCATACATGGCTTAATGGGACTCTAGAGCTTAATGAAGGATTTTAACACATGCATGAGTCCAAAGAAACCATAAAGATCACACTTTTACACCTTTGGGACACCTAAAACGTCCATATTTAGAAGATCAAGCCACTGAAACAACCTTAGCTCACAAGGACCAACCAAAAGGGGTAAAATGATGATAATCAAACCCAAAAGAAGATCTAACCAAGGAGATGGCAAGATCAAAGCTTTTTACCTTCAATAGATTTCAAAAGATGGAAAACCTCTGGATCTACAAGCACTTTTCCAGGTGGTGATTCTTCAACAAGCTGCAAGCTCTTCAAAGTGCAAAAAATACTCCAAGATCCTTCATAATGGCTTAAAAGATCCAAGATAAGCGGTAAGGGTTGACTTATAGGGTTTAAGAGGCTTAGAGGTTGATAAAAGATAAGGTTCATGAAAGAAGTGAGGTTAAGATAGGGTCAAGGACAAAAATTAGGGTTTTATGGATGAAGGGAGTACACCCCGCGTACCCCTTAGTACGCCTGGCGTACTCAAGGCTCACTTGCGACCATTTAGCTCGGTACGCCCCGTGTACACATCTAGTACACCCTGCATACTAGATGCCCCTCCAAACTCCAAAACTTCATTCAGCTCTAACTCCTTCATCCTAAGTTTGTTTCCAACAAACTTTATATCCACGAAAAGGTGATGAAAAAGTGACGAAAATCCCTACACTTCTAACAACTCACCATTGCCTTAAAACTTCCCAAACAAGAACCCAAAATTCATAAAAGTCTGAACTAACAAATTATGATTATACCCTTGGGCTCCACAACACCATCAAACACTCGGATCACTTAAACTATAGTGCCCACATCCAAAAAGGGCCAAATGCTTTCTTCCTTGAGGCCCTAAGCCTCATGATAACTGATGATTAGGCCACAGCCCTAAATAATGAAGCAATCCAAAACCGAGTGCTATAACTCTCCCCCGCTTAAATTAGATTTTTTCCTCGAAATCTCTCCTAACTAACACTCAGATCGTACCAAGCAACCAGAGCAATGCAACCGAAAACCCTGAGTATACAACAACCTTACCAAAGCAACCAAACCTAACCCTAACAGAACTCTTCGACCTGATGA